TGTGACATACGGTCCACTCTCTTGAGTGCTCTTATGTTCACATGGCCATCTCTCCCATCTGCCTCGGGCACTGATTGGTAGGGGGAGCTCATTTCTTCCCCACCCATGCCACCACATGACAGATGAATAACAGGGACAGTTCTTTAATGCTCATAACTTCGAGGCTGGCTCACCCACACCTCTGTCAACAGGATTGGCTCTATTGTGCTGCCCAGGTGAGGTGCAGGGCGTGCTCTCCCAAGTGTTGCCACTGGTGGCAGGCAGGGACAGCTCTCTCATCCTTCTGACCTCAGGGCCAGCTCTCCCACCTGTCTCAGGTGTTGATGGGTATGCATGTGTGGGAACTCCTTTTCCTAAGGTGAGGGCATTTTTTTTTTAAGATTTATTTATTTATTATGTATACAGAAGAGGGTGCCAGATCTTATTACAGATGGTTGTGAGCCACCATGTGGTTGCTGAGAAATGAACTCAGGACCTCTGGAAGAGCAGTCAGTGCTCTTAACCTCTGAGCCATCTCTCCAGCCCGAGGGCAAATTTAAGAAGCCTGTCACATAACTTATGCATCTGTTTTGTTAAACTTTTGTTATATATCAAGGAGCATATTCAAGTATGGCATGATGTTATTTATTCATCTCCACTCTATTTACCAACCCTGGGCAGATGGACCTGGAATATATATATGTAATGAGCATCCACTGTTCAGGATAGAGTCACATTTGAAGATAACACCTGTTGCTCTCATCCACTTCCCTAGTTTCCTCTCTGTTGCTGTGATTAAAATACCCTGAAACGAGCAACTTTGAGAGAGAAAGCATTTAATTGGCTAACAATTCCTGGTGATAGTCTGTCATTATGGGGATTTCAAGATAGCAGGGTCTTGAAGAAGCTGATCACATTACATACACAATCAAGAGCACAGAGAGAATGGTGCCCATAGTGGGCTGGATCCTCCTCCATCAATTAACATGGTACAGTTTCCTGTAGACATGACAACAGGTCAACCTCATCTGGATCACCCCTCACTGAGACTTTCTGCTTAAGTGAGTCTAGATTGGGTCAAGTTGACAAACAGAACCGTCTCACACACCCGAGGATCTGGGCTTTTGAAAAGCTTATAGCACTGAGCCTTTAAGGCCTATCCCTTTTCCCTTTCATTCATTTGTTAACATATTGTTAGCTTACACCTGAACTTTATCAAGTTCTTCATCTATTTTGACAAGTGTGTGTGTAACAGTTTCACATATTTGGCTTACATGTTCAGTATTAGCTGGACTTAGGCTGTGGGCTTTTGGTTTCCCTACAACATTCCTAATTTATATAAAGAACTTTAACTTTACTTATTCTCTCCAAGGCAAACTAAATTGAATGTATTTTCACAAAGTACGCATCTATTGAAGTCTTAGACTTAGATAAGTATCATGTTTAAATTATAATTTGAGTTTAGTCTTGATAATTTCACACATGCATAATACAATAAAATATGATTATATCCAACCAAATTTCTCTCCTCCAACTCTTGCCATGTCCTCCTGAATATGTGCCCCTCCCAAGTTAATTCTTTCTTTTTTTTAATAGCTCACTAAGTCCAATTAGTATCACCTAAATGTACACAAGTGTGGTGCTAGCTACGGGAGCACAGGAAACCTGCGAATGGCCAATACTTTTAAAAGGAATGACTTATGCAGGGATGCTTGGCTCAGTCTGGGAGGAGGGCCTGGACCTGCCTGGACTGGGTCTATCAGGTCGATCCCAGTCCTCGGGGAAGGCCTTGATCTGGAGGAGGTGGGAATGGGAGATGTGCTGGGGGGAGAGGGAGGGGGGCAGGGGGGGAGAGAACAGGGGAATCTGTGGCTATTATGGAGAACTGAATAGTATTGTAAAATAAATAATAATAATAATTAAAAAAGGAATGATTCTCCCTTCCCCCACCCCAGGAGCTACTAACTCTATTAAGAGTGAGCCTGGAAAGCACCTCCCCCATCTACGCTGGAATTTTGGATGACTTTATCTTGTTCAGGTCTTATCTAAGTCACCAAGCTCACTAGTTTTCAGCAATGTACCACACACATAAATAAATGTGTATTTCTCATTTTTATTTTTTTAGGTTTCTATTGCTGTAATAAAATATCATGAGCAAAGGAAATTGAAGAATAAAGAGTTTATTTGGCTTACACTTCCACACCACAATCCACCATTGAAGGAAGTTAGGCCAGGAACCTGCAGGCAGGAACTGAAGCTGAAGGCCATGGAGAAATGCTGCTTACTGGCTTTCTCTCCAGGCTTGCTTAGTTTGATATATATATATATATATATATATATATATCATATATATACTCCCGGACCATCTGCCCAGGGGTGGCACCACCCACAGCGAGTTGGTTTTCCCACTTCAATAATCAAGAATATATCACATAGATGGGTCTACAGGCCAATCTGATGGAGGCATTTTCTCAATTAAGACTTCATCTTCCCAGATCTGTCTAGGTTGCATCACACTGCCATAAAGCAACTAGTACAGGGTCTGGTGCAGAAAGCAGGTGGTGTAAAATAGTTATCCGCTATATCCAAATTTGATTCAAGAGGTTACTCTAGAAACCAATCATTCAGTTTTAGTGAAATCATTTTTGTACAGCTTCCTTGAAACGGTTAATAAACTAGCAAACACTCCCCACTTTCCTGTTTTAAGCCTTTGTGCAGGTCAGTGAACAGTCAACAAAAATACCAAGACAAAAGTATAAAGCAATTTAGAATTTAATGAGCCCATCTCACAATTAGAAATTATTTCTAGAGATATATTCTAGATAGAAATCTTCTCGGCATTAACTCCATTAATGGCATGTAAGTTTCTGGTGAGTTCTATGGCTACAGTAAAGCCCTGTTTGAAAGCAAATCCCCTAATCAACTCTGCTGCCACACAGAGACTACAGCCAGTGTATTTGCTCAAGTCCACAAGGCAGGAGAAATGCAGTTCAGTGAGATAATAACTCTTCATTTTTAATATGGACTTACCCTGTAAGACAGAGTTGCAAGCCAAGTCTGAATTTTGGTGCTTAGAGAATTACAGTTCATTTGGCAGCATGCCAGCTTATATAAAGTTGGCAAGACTCGCACAGCCGCGCGCTGAAAGGTGTCAGGTGATGAAAGTTTGTGACCTGGTTGCATCTCATGTGCCTTATGATAATTCAAGCAACTTCCTTCATCTCTACGGGGGTCAGTTTCTTCATCTGCAAAATGGGGCTAATAACATCTGACTTGTCTCCATTTCAGAGTCATAAAGAACAATCGGTTGTACACATATTCATTGCGCAGAAGGCTCAGAACTAGCCTTGTGGCCCTTCACTGCTTTCCTCATCTTTGTCTCCATAGCACATTAATATTTTCTTTAATGTGAGAACCTCAGTTTAGATTACCCGATTATTTGAATCCTGAGAAATCATGGAAAAGTAAGAATTTGACAGGTGCCGTGACTTGGTCATGGTTGTGAATACTTGTGGCTTGAACACTAATAGGGAATAACCAGTTTCATTCATTTAAGTAGGGGCTTACACAAGAGGAAAACAGGTTTGGCTTGCCAAGGTCAAGTCCAGTGAACTGATTTGTGTTATTATACCAACTCCTTCCCACTCAATGGGCTCCAGAAGGATGCTAGGGCCACATAGCATGGGTCCTGTTGAACATCCATCTCCAGAGTCATCTGTGTACCTGGAGGGGCCTGAGGGTGTTTGTAAATGGAATATGGTTGATCAAGAAGGCTAAGTCAGATCCAGACTATCAGTTCCTGACAGGATCCTAGATGAGGATGAAGACACAGTATCCCAGGCTGTGCTCTAGGGTTTTTTTTTTGTTGTTGTTGTTGTTGTTGTTGTTGACATGTGATACACTTGGCTGTCATAACAACAACAACAACAACAACAAAATCTCTGGCTGAGTAGTTTTAACAACAGTGGTTTATTATCCCCCAGTTCTAGAGGCTGCAAGCCCCATATCAAGCTGTAAAGTGGAGTTCTGTCTGTGCAAAGGTACTTTATCCTTACCTGGCTTTCTCTCTGAGAAATATCTCTTTTCCTATAAACTCACAAGTCCTAAATCAACTATGGACTTTAGTAAAATGCACTCTGCTGTTGGCCTGTCAGTTATGAATTGTAATAGAGAAACCTCAAGATGTTATTGGGAAAACATAGGAAGGAAATTCTGTGCAAGGAACTGTGAGTTTCTGATAAATTTTCCTAAGCATTTAAAACTGCTTGAAAAGATGAAATGCATTAATGTAAGAGACAGTCTTAGACTTTTTTTTCCCCCAATTCAATGAATCCCTCATCAAGGCTGAAGGAGAGGAGTTTTTATACCAAGTGCATGTGTAACTAATATATGTTAAAGTCTGAGGACTGTCCAGAAGTGACCAACAGCTCCAGGTTTGTCAAGAGATGAATGCAGCATCAAATCTCAGCTGAATTTTTTCAGAGCTGACTGATATTGGGCAACTTAATGTCTGTGAGTTTCAGTCATGCTTTTAAATCAGCATACAATAGTTATAAAATGCATTCCTTCTTAGTTGTGAAGTGATGTAGTGATACAGAATTTGTTAATAGAGTGCAAGGTGCAGAGTAAGCACTTAATCAACATTAAAAGCACTAGGTTTGACTATAATTGTGTAAGTCCTGGTGAGCAAAGGAGAACTGTGCTGAATGTAGGGGCCTTTCAGAAACAACCAGTAAGTTACAGGCAATAATAGTTCAGAGCACAATAAAACAATCCTGGATACTCTGGCAATATTCCTTGGTTTATAAATAGATTTTATTTTCATTATCTTATTTGATCTTCACATTCTCCTTTTTAACAGATGCAGAGCTGAAGCTGAGAAATGGATGGTGACTTTCTGGAAAAAATAGGTATGGCCCAATATGGTTTTGTAAAGATTAAATGAAGCAATGTTCATAAATATCTGAGGTTAATGGCTGGCACATAGTTTACTTACAATTTTTTGTGTCTTTTTTTTTTACATGGGACCATGGACTAGACACATGCAATATGAAAAGTACTCTGCAGTTTGCAGTAAAAAACAGGACTCTTTTGTGAGTGGAAGGCTGGCCAGCTTCAGAGGATGAATATTTCCTATACTCTATACTTGGAGCAGCTGAAGAGCCAATAAAGGATGGAATGAACAAGACAGTTAACTCTAGACCTTCAGTGTATTAAGAACGGCAGTACACATGGCAGCAAATGGAACTGCAAAGAATGTTCAGTGGTTAAGAACACTGACTGCTTTTGCAGAGGATGCAGACTCCAAAACCAGCACCCACAGGACAGACCACAACCAACTGTAATTCCATTTCAGCTTTTAGAGGATCTGATACCCTTTTCTGGACTCCATGCGCACCAGGCATACCTGGGATATACACACATACAAAAATGCTCATACATATAAAAGGAACTACATTTGAGGCCAGCAGCAGCAGAAGAGAACTTTTCTGTGTTTTGTCAGAGACTAAGAATTCATATAAAGACTTCAGACACCAAAATGTTATAACAAAGATCCTACACAAGTATTTTGGAGGCTTAACATGTTGCAACTTCTCCAATATAGTGTCCACTTTGGATGATTTTGCTGCTTTATTTATAGCTAGTCCAGAGATACAACACAGAAGGACCCAAGGGGACTAATCCTCACTAACAGGTCTTGAGAAGTGGACTGGCACACAGAAAATATTCTTAGAATTTTACAGATGGCAAAGGAGTTGTAAATTACTCGTGATGTAAATAAGGAGGGAGAATCTGTTTTAGAACAAGGTGGTGCCTTTTTTACCTTCTTTGCTTTCATCAGGATACAATGTGGTGATGGTAATGATAATGGCGATTATGAGAACTTTCTTTATAGCGTCTCTCACTGAACTCTTACTATGTGCCAGAATCATCCAAAGCACATCATGCATTTCACCTCCTTTAATCTTTGCCAGAAGTTTACTGAGGCAGGCATTACTGTTTTGTACATTTTTGAGTTGAGAAAGGTTGAGTTGTTCGCTTTGGACACACAGTTAGATTCCAGCTCAGCCAGCTGGGCCCAAACCCCCACATGAAGGTAGTTTTAGAAGTCAGTAGAGAGAAAACACTGGAGTTTACAGCTGGAGAGGCATTCGTGATCTGCAGAGGGAGAGTTGTCGTCAGGATTGCTATTGGTAAGCTTGCTTTGAGATTACTGAAGTCCTAGGTCGCCACATGACCAGGATGAAATAGAATAGGCTAGGAAGGACGGACAGGAGGCTTGTTAGAAGAAAGAAAGGTGTGTACACTACTTATAATTTTATATACTTGACTCAGTAAATATTTACACTGCACGTGATCTTATCCTCTGGCTCTTCTGTCCCATTACTCTGCCTTCATCACGGCTCCAGCCACAGCAGCCCCCTTAGTGTTCCCAAGCTTACGGCCCTCACAGCTGCTTTCACTTACCCTATCCTGAAGCTATTTTTGCCCTTACTTCTGCTGGTTTCCTTAAATCCCAACAGAGCTATAAAGTAGATTCCAGCAGACAGCTCGCGTAAACAGGTTGGATAAAGTCACGCGATCTTTAACTATTGGAAGTAGGATTTGAATGGAGACAGTGGAGGTGTTGGAACTGTCTTCTCAACCGTGAGTGTGGAACTCACCACAGGGCGTTCAAGTGAGTCTCTTGTGGGACTAGGGCTGAAAGGAAGGACAAGTGACTGTTGAATCCTAACTGAAGAAAGGAGCAAGGGTTCATGGTGTTTGTAGCCGGGTGGGTGCAGGGAGAAAGAATGGCTTTCCCAACTCTTAGAAACTACTTCAGCTGTGTCAGGGTCAATTGACCTTGCAGCTGAGAGTGTGAACAAATGCCAGTTTGCTTTGCTGGCCCACAGAACGGGTCAGCTTGACCTTTCTTTTCAAAAGAGGCACCATAGACTTCACTCCTGGGGGCCTATTTTAATGCTCAGCTCTCTCTCCAACAGTAACCATGGCCACAAGTGGTTTGTTGGGTTGTCTCTGCCTCCCAGCCATTGCTGGCCTTGGATTGCTTAGAAAGACATGCAACCGTGGGTGATGAATTCCCCTGGGATCTCAGCCATCCCTTCCCACAGGGCGACCTCCAGTGAAACCTCCCTTTGGAGAAGGAGCTGGTGGGAAATGTCTCCTAGACAGCTCAGCTGGACCGTGCAAAGTGCTGTGGTTCACCTTGGCCCTGTCTAGTCAGTGTCTAGAAGTCACTTTCTCCAACCTCTCTCCGAGTCTCATGACTGAGTTGCGCTTGGGAAGTTTCCTGTCTAGGAGTTGTTGGCACTCTGCCTGGTTCCTGAGAAGGGCGTCTCCTTGCGCTTGCCTTCTGCTGTCCTTCGAACCCAGCTTCTCACTCCACAGGCCAGAGTCTGACCCCCTAAGGACCCCGCAGTATGTTTCTTTGCCAAAGAGCTTCATCTTGAGCCAGCCTAGAGCCAGGCTCCGCGCGATGCAAAAAGGGGTTCCAAGAAAATCTCGAAAGGAGCCCTGCTAAGCCTTAAGCCGCTTCAGGTCTCTGTTTTTGGGTGCATCTGCTGTCACCTGAGGCGCTGCTACAGCCTCTTCCACTTTCTCCTTAGGTGACTTGGCAGCAGGTGGCAGAGGCGGTGCCAAGCTTGCCAGGGGCGGGGGGCGCCTCGCTCTGTCTGGCGGTACAGCGTCCAGGCTTCTCAGCGTCTGGTGTCCCGGCCCCCACCACCCGCGCATCCCTGCCACCCAGCGCGGCAAAGCGCCCCCGGCGCCCCCCGCCGGCCTCCGCCCGCACCTGCAGCGGCTCCGCGCGCCCTGCCCGCCGCCGCCTCCAGCTCTCAGCGCCTTGCTCGCCCAGGACAGAGCTGCTGTGCGCACCCGTGCCAGACCCATCGCCAGTCGCCCCTGGGCCAGTGGACTCTTAAGAGTGTCGCTCTCTCACCCAGCGTCCCCCAAGATGAACGTCAGGAGAGTGGAAAGCATCTCAGCTCAGCTGGAGGAGGCGAGCTCCACAGGCGGTAGGATGAGATGGGCTCGCGATCAGGCGCCCCGCTGGCACTGTCCTTCCCTCGCTACGATCGGGTGCCCCTTCCACGCTGGGGGCGGGGGTGGGGGGAGACGCTTGTTGCCATCGCTGCATGAGAGAGAGTGCGGACCCAGACGGGGTTGGGAAAGGGAGGTGGGAGTGGGGGCATGAGGGCGCCAAGGAGTGGGGGTGCATGCCAGGGTCTAGGAGGAGGAAAATGCTTGAAGTGTGTTTGAAACTCGCTGGTGGCGGGGTCCGCTGCGATCCTGAGCGTACTTTTTGCCTTCCCTGAAAATTTCTGAGGTTGTTTGCTTTTACCAGATGCCTTTCACAGGCACACTTCCTTCCCCTAACACCTGGGGAATAAATGAGCCAAAATGGTGTTGATCCACCCCCTCCGCACTTCCTTGATGCTCCCAAACACTTCACTAGAACTCTATTTTGATCCCCTGGGTAATACGCAGACGGGATGTTGCCCACGTCAGAGCCTTTTGCAGGCGCGCTTGTCTCGTTCTATCGCTACCTGCAGTTTAGTGTGTTTGGAGAATATAGTCCTCAGTGACACTTGGAAATAATTTTTATATAGTACAGTCTTGGAAAGGTACTGGGCACTGTGCAAGGAGCGTGGCTCTCAGGGAAACATGCAGGGGTAGGAACTGTTCTCTGAGTTTAGCAGGACCTAAGGCAGAACTGATGTCCTCCCTCCTACAGACCATCTTGGGTTACATCAGTTTGTTTTTAGATGACTTTGATGTGTTCAGTTTTTTTTTTTTTTTTTTTTTTTGAGGACCCTAAATAGGATCAAGGTGGTTGTGGAGAATGTGAGTGAGGAAGATTATATAAGGCACGGAGTCACGTGTAGCTACCGTGTCATTTGGCTTTACAGGGTCAGAATGTGGCCCTAACAGCTATAAAGTTGTCAGAAAGTAGTGTGTGTGTGTGTGTGTGTGTGTGTGTGTGTGTGTGTGCATTCTCTTTATTACTCGAGGAAATAGAGGCACCTGAATAACTGAGTCCAGCATGGGCATAAGAAATGGACATCTACCAGAACCTTCCCTCTGATAGTTAAGCTCGGTCTAACTAGGAGGGCACTTGTCTCATTTGAGTGTGAAATTTTAAAAAGTCTTGGTTCTTCATAGTCCCTTGAAAATGAATGTCATGACCACTGCTGACACCCCAAATTTGACCTCTGATGGTGTTTTCTCAGAGTAGCAACTGCCTACCTGTTATGACCCAGTATACCTAGAAGGGTATATGAAAGATATGTGCAATATTTAAAAGACTGGAATTTCTCCTTTGTTTTTGTTAGAATGACACTTTAAGTGTAAGGGGCTGATTGTAGGTTGAGTGTAAAGAAACTATAGTTGCAGTTTCGCCTGCTGTGAATGGGGTGATCAGCTCACTCTCATTCAGGAGGGCTTGTGAACTCAAGGCTCAGGAGGGTGGTACAGAGTCAGAGCTGGGACAGGCTGTGGGGGAACCGTCTTTAGAGTTGGTGGCTTATATTTGCCTCCTCAGTAAGGATAGCTCTTTATCTGAGCCTAGTCAGTCAGATGGGGATTAAATTTATATGTTCACTCTCTGTCCGGTATCCTGGTGGGTAGAATTTCTGTAAATGAGAAATACAAATGAAATCATACCTGATGAATATGAAACAAATAAATATGAAAAATAGAAAATGCGATATCATCTCTAGCATCTACAGTAATGATTTATTAGAGAATAGAAAGACGTTGATTACATCTTGGCTAAGATGAGGATGAAAGCGAAGTTTTAACACTTGTTTCTTTAGTTCTGTGTGGACATTTTTAGGTAATTAATGTCTGACGATGAGACCAAAGGAAACAAAGATGGTTGAGAGCATTGCTTTAGTTCTTGGTGCCACTATTCTAAAGGTGCTACAAGAGGTGACCAAACATGATTTAGCACTTTGGTTATCTGTGCTCAAATCTGTAATCGTCAGGGGGAAAATGGGTGACTGTCAATTTTAAAGGTTTTAGGTTTAGGTTTAAAACAATAGCCCCAACCTCTTGTTTCCTCTTCAATAAGTGGACTTTAATGGTTTTCCCCCTGAATATACATTCACCAACTAGAGAATTATAAAAGGATTCAATCAAACATTAACAGAATTATCTAATAGAGAAATCTAGAAAGAGAGAAGGAAGAAAAAAATTCAAACCGGAGAAATTTCTCCCTTTCACTTTCATATGTGTGTATGTGTATTATGACTTTATTTGGAGGCTAAACTTTGAAAAATGCTCTGTAGAGAGGCGAAAGAGATCCCCTCACTCGATGCGGCAAATAATGGGAAAATCTCATATATGGTGGCATAAGAGTTTAATTATGTTGCTTAAACTTTCATCCTTATGCTTTTCAACAAGTAAAAGCACTTAGTGTGCATCCATGCATCACCTTCGAGGTCATTACAGTTGATAGTGTGAATGTTACAGACCACAGCATAGTGATGGTGTAGGGCATACTAGACTTTGATACTCATCAGATTCCATGTTATTCTTAAAGATTGTCTCAATACATTTTGATTTCTATTATCTAGTCCCATTATTTTGATACCTCGTTGTAAAATTCTAACATAATTCTACTACCAGATGTGTATGTGTGTGTGTGTGTGTGTGTGTGTGTGTGTGTGTGTGTGAGAGAGAGAGAGAGAGAGAGAGAGAGAGAAGGGGAGAGAAGAGAGGAGATTTCAATCATATATTTAAAAGAATCAGAAAGAAGGTCAGAGAAAAAAGCCCTATAAAATTATTCATCAGTGTCCTTAATTTGTGTTATCTAACTTAGGGATGGCAGCTGTTATCTGATGTAATCTACAGTAAAAGTGGGGAGGAAAGTACATGTTTCAACAGTAGTGAGAAAATCTGCTGGAATTTTTAATCATAATTTGATGGATGTTTTGTGGCTTCAGCTAAAGTTTCATGTTTATTAAGGTTCAAGGAAAGTCAAATTAGCAATTCCCCATGAGTAATAGTCAAAAATTCATTTATTCTGAACCTTGGAAAAGCTTTTCATTGTATGAGATATTCTACTTTCTTTATTTCACACAGATGAAAGGGAATATTCAATAAATATTGTGAAGTATTACAACTCAGAGATGCCCATTGGTTTCCCTTATATGCTGTACTTTTTTATTTTCTGGTTGATGTTTACACCCTCATTCATAAAATAAGGACATAGCTGTTTTGGACATTAATGAGCCATGCAAGATAAAATATGTGTTCAAGATTTCTGAAGAGTTTTAGAGAAGATAGTGGTTGGTTTGTTTTGAAAATATATTTCTGGACAGTACACAATCTTTCTTACTCATTTTTTGTCATTTTGTTTTCCTTGTCTTGCTGGTTTTCATAACGTGGATAATATTGCTTTTTAATATTTCATAGCACATTGACTTATTTACCCAATAGCTCTCCTCCTAGAGACAATTTCCAACAGATCAGTGTGTGTGTGTGTGTGTGTGTGTGTGTGTGTGTGTGTGTGTGTGTGTATGTGTGCATGTGTGTGTGCATGTGTGTGTGAGAGAGAGACAGACAGAGACAGAGACAGAGGGAAAAGAGAGAAGAGATGAAGATATAAGTGTTATTTGTTCAATAGGCCTTTACTATCCTCAAAAAGTGTCTTAAGGTTGTTCAACTGAGCCCTTTACTATAAATGTATTCACCCCTTGAGCACTTAATCACCCATTTATTTTTCAAAATGTCTTATTTGGTTAAATGACCTTATGCCTCTGCTATATCCTCCTGAATTCACCTTGGTACTTCCTCTGCTCACCAAATGCTCCTTTGCGGACTACGATCTCTGGGAGAGCCAAGCCATCGATTCCTGGTTATCACTTCATTTCCTAAGCATCTAGTTTGAGGACTCACATTTACTGTCTCAATAGCTGATAATGACTGCATTCTTCTCCATGGCCGTCTGAGGAACTGAATTACTCTGTACCATCTCAGATTCCTGGTAACTCTTATTATGACCCTTACTTCTTTTCTTTTGTACATTCTATGCAACTTTCACCAAGTTCTGTTTTAATTATCTCTCCTCTGTGTACTCTCCTCTTAAGCAAATGGCTATTTTAATTTCTCTTGTGGTGTGCCAGTCTCCTTGTGCACAGTCTAGCTCAATGTTCCTCTCAAGTGCTAGACAGACATTCTCCTTACTAGAATTTCAGACCCATCAGCAAGTTTTACTAGCTTTGTCAAGTAAAAATAAAAATCCCCCCCAATACATATTTTGTCCTTTAAAAGTAAGTTATTGTTCAAATGGGGCCACCATTATTTGTGACATAAAGTTTGGAAGTGGTTGAAACAGACCCTTCTCTATGGGTCTTCCATCTCTGCTGAATCAGTCACCAGTGTTTATTTATTTCTGTTTCTCACTTTGGTTTCCTCTCAACTCCCTCAAATTATGATCATAGCATCATTTCCAGGCAAGTATGTTGAATCCTCTTTCCTTACCATCTCCCACTTAAAGTCAACTGGATTCACTAACACTTGATTTCAGTTTTATTGTCCTAGAAAATATATTTTAGTACCTCCCTTTGATTCTACTTTCAGAAGGAAAGCTATGGTAGTTTTAGATTGGTATCAAAGGCTTTCATGATAAGGTGATCATCTTCTCCCTCCACATTATCTCCTACAGTTCTGCCAGGTCTGTGCTTTGGTATAGCTGCACTGGAGTTTTCCCTAGTTCTCAAACATACTTTGTATTTTCCCACTGCTAAGTATTAACTTCCTGCCCTGACATTGCTTGGTGATTGTCTGTCTGCAGTCTATCCAGACTCTTCTCCAATGCTGTCCCCTTCTCAGGCAACACCATTTCTTTGTCCCAGCTCCCCACTACTAAGAATTGC